TTGGCATCCTAGTTAACCTGTGTGAAGACCACAGTAGTGCATGTCTTGCTATGAACCACCCCAGCCTGGCCTTTCCCCTGATGACACAGTCAGACAGGAGAACCACCAGCTCAGTGGGGTCTATGTCATAGCCAGTCACCACCAGATGAGCCTTCTTGTTCTCCACCAATATCGTGACTGTACTGACTCCCGCTCTAAGGACATGTGGTAGTTGGGAAGGCCCCTTGACCTGCAGCTTTTTCCACAGCACAGGCCTTTGCTTCTCTTGCATTATCTCTGACCTATACTTGTGGGTAGTTGTAAGCAGCTGAATAGTTCTTTTTCCGTCCAGTCCTGTGTGAACTGGTTAACAGTTGGAGTCACTTTAGCTGCTTATAGAGGATGGCCTTTTGCTGCTGCAACTTAATGTAGTGGGGCTATTTGACGAAGTGTGTGAAATTTCTTGTGGGCTGAATGTCCTACCCAGTGCTGGAGTTTCTAGGCATTTTCTCAGGGGACTCACCACCTTTTTGGCATCCCATTTCTTTATGAATGGAGCCACCTTCTTCCTCTTGGTCTTCCTTCCTTTGGGTATCTTGTTCAACTGAAGGTGAGCGCGAGAACTTAGAATAAGGATTTTTTTTTTTTTTACTTTACACAATCTAAAGCCATCTTTAGGCAAGGAAATGCCTCTATCAGATTTGCCCGCAGGCAAGTAGTTTGAGCATTTTCTTGATTGTCAATCAATGTGGGAGGGTTCAGCCCACTGTGGGCAGTGTCGCCCTGGATAGGTAGTCTGGGGGCATAGACGAAAGCAACTGCGCAAGCTGTGATGAGAAATGTAGTAGGTATCATCCCCTATGACTCCTGCTTCCGTTTCTGACTCCAGGCTCCTTCCTTGAATTTCCGCCCTGACTTCTCTTTGTGATGAAGTAAAACTTTTCCTTCCCAAGTTGCTTTTGGTCGTGGTGTTTATCACAGCCATAGAGAGCAAACTAAGACAGATGTAAAGTTTTCTAGTGTTCCATGCACCAGTGAAAAGACAGTGTACCCTCTGTTGTACTGAATATTCTATGGATTAGTTGTTAAGCTCTGTTGATGTATGAAATAATTTCTCAGGTTCTGATCTGGGAAACATCTCAATTGAGCCTCCCTTTTCTTTTTTTTTGATTTTTAATTTGGAGGCTTTATCTATCTATCTATCTATCTATCTATCTATTTATTTATTTATTTCGGGTTTTGGAAACAGGACGTTTCTGTGTATCCCTGACTGTCATTACCATGCCTGGCATTGTCTTAGATGCACAGGTATCAGTGTTTAAGTAGTGAATGAAGCAGGAGTGGGAAGGTGGAACAGGTAAAATATGAGTGAGAAGGAAAGTATAGGGGTCGAAGACATGAGGGGTAGTAGGGAGCCTACTTTAAGTGCAGAAATGTGGACGGAGAAAAGTAAAGTCATGAAGCCTTCCGGCGAGAGAGAACACAAAGTGCAATAGCTAATGACTAAAAAACAAAATTGCAATTAGCAATAAAATATCAAATTTAGGAAAACAATAAAAAGTCAGGCACATTTATAAAGACAGAAATATGAATTTCATGTCTTATGCTCTTCGTGTATTTTTCCCCCTTGGAATGATTTTCCCTCTCCCCTAAGACTGCCATTTTTATCAGTCTCCATAGGTTCTTGGTGGGGGGAACTGCTACTATTTCAGACAAGTGAAGTCAGAGTACCTTTTAAGATGAGTGTTTCTGTGAGCCAGTGCCACACCCCAGTGAGGTACAGTTGTTCCTAATGAATCAGGATTAGAACTGTCCATGGCTTTCTGTAATCGGTATTCTGAAAGGATGTGTCTGACCCTCCCACCTGGTATCATAAGCTAGCACAGTGCTGGATCCACAGCCCAGCACCCCATCACAGTTCAGCTTGGCAATGGCGGGGAAGAGAAGTCATTCTGTCTGACTTGCAGTCCAGGCTCCTTTAGACACCTTCATGCTTTGCTGCTCCCGTCTGCTCTCCATGGTCCAGTGCTGCTCATGTGTGCAGCTCACTGGCCGAAACGTTAGTTCTGACTCATCGGGTGGCTGTGGCCCCTGGGGTGGCATATGGCAGTGACAACAGTTCGTTTGCAGCGCTCTCCCACAGGCGGTTCATTAGCAGAGACCTTTAAGGGGAATGTGCAGGGTGTGTGTGGTAGCTGCTGCCTGGACCACTGACGCAGCAGCAGTGGGCCCTTCTTGTAGAAGTGACCACAGGAATGCCGGCCATCAAGCTTGGCAGTAAATTATCAACTGCTTTGTTTTCACACGGCACACACGCTGCACATACACAATATCCTTTTCTAGATGGCATCTGAGGGTACCGGGCTGTCAGTTAGCAGACGCCCTGCAGGCTGGGGAGGGCAGCTCGTCAGACACTGGTGCGGCGGAGAGTTTCCAGTGTGTCTGATAAATTGTTTAAATTTCTTACTACACTAAATTCAAACTAGCTGTAAAACGGTAGTCGTGATGTTGATGGTTAATAGAAACGATGTACGATCATTGAGTACCACACATTGCTGTCACTTCTATCCTTAGCTTTGTGGTGCAGGGGTGGGAAACCACTTTTCCTCCACCCACGTACTATCAGCCTCTGCTTTGTTTGTGGTGCTCGCAGTAGAGTCCAGAGCTCTCCCGACGCTCAGCGAGCATTCAGCCATCGACAAACACCCCAGCCGTTTAGGCTGTTACTCAAAGGCTTCGGTGGGAGACTGCAGGGCTAGCTGAGAAAGTAATGATTTGCTTGTCCCCGTGAATTTTCATTTCCTTCTGCTTGGTTTCTTGTTTCATCCACTGATGTTGTTACTTCCCTCTGGAAGAGAAAGTTCATCCCAGAAGCAGCTCGGTTCTGTTTGCAGTTTTACCAGTTTTAAAGCCAACTCTACTGCATCTCCAAAAAGGCAGCGGTAGAGTCAGCTGGGACCTGTGTCTCAGAACTCTGCCTTCCAGGCCCGTGGGCCATTCCTCCAAGCTTCTCATTATTTCCACTTATCCCTTTTGTCTTCTTCCTGAAGTTGTTGTCTCTGTGATGGCTTAGAATTTTTTTCTTTTCAATTAGTAAGCTGGCAGTTCTGGGCCACCTCACCATTCTCTCATGTTAAATTCTTGTTCTTAAAAATACGTGAGTTCCACCTTTTAATTGGATGCTCACTGATACAAATATTACCCAATTCATTCAACTAGCAATAATTCTAAGCAACGAACAATAATCTAATAAGCACTTTTTATCTACTTATGTACTTTTAAGTCATATGTTTACCAACATATGATTTGTAGACAGGAAGTTGAGGGGTGAATTTAAGCGACTTGTTGCATTTGTACGGTTACATGGTGACAGAACTTGCCATTTGGACCGAGGAAAGCTATTTATGCATTAGGTATTCTTAATCTTTGGGTTCAGCAAGAATGCCTGACTCTGTGAGACTGAGATGTAATTAAGACAAAGATAAAAATAACTTAAAAGGCTTGGAATTGTAATGTGATTGGGAGATATTGGCCAAGCTGCCTCCCCTGATGAATGCTGGAAGAGCTGAGGCAGAAAACCAGCAGCTTGCACGACAAGGATCATTGTTATCATCACAACTTCTCTGAAAAAGAGTTATGAGCTTACAGATCAGCAGGGAAGTCTGCTTCACAGGCAGCACACTCAAGCCTATATAAAGCACAAAATATTTCATGCTTTGGGATACAGGAACATTCCCTAGAAGTTGTGGAAGGCCTCAGGCATTCCCATGGTCCTTCCCACATTTGTTGGCATTACAAATACCCTTTTTTTTTTTAAAAAAAATTGAAAATATATTTTTTCATAAAATATATTCTGATTGTGGTTTTTCTTCCCTCAACTCCTACGAGATCTTCCTGACCTTCCCACGCACCCACATCCGTATCCCTTCTTGCTTTCTCTCATTAAAAGCAAACAGGTATCTAAAAAAGAAATAAAATTAGATGTAATAAAAGCAAAAACAATCTAAATAGGAAACAAATACACAAAAAGAGTCAAAGGAAAATCACAAGAAGCACATACAGATGTAGAAAAGACACATTTGCACACCTAGAAACCCCATAAAAAACAAACCCAGAAACTACAATATATAAGCAGAAGACCTGTAAAGGGAAAAATGCCCAGACTAAACATGAGAAAAAGCCTCCAAAACTACCACTGAGTTCACTTTGTGTTGCCATCTTCTGCTGGGCTTGAGGCCTGCTCTTATGTCTTGCTCTTATCACTGGTATACCCAGTGAGACTCCGTTAGAGAAAACTAACTTTTCATTTGGGAGATAACTTTAGGTTAGGGGTGGGGGCTTGTGTCCACTTCCCCTCTCGGTGCTGGGACCCATCAGGCTCACACCATGCTGCCACAGTCTCTGTCAGTGTATATGTGCATCGGTCCTGTTGTGCCTGAAAGACACTGCTGCCTGAGAATCGTTCATCCACTCTGACTCTTACACTGTTTCTGCCTCCTCTTCCACACAGCTTCCCGTGCTGTGAGGGGAACATCCCAGTTAGGACTGAGTGTCAGGACCACACATTATCCAGGTGTGAGTTTCTACATTTGTTTCCATGTCCTGGAAGAGGCAGCCCTGAGTAGTTTTACCTCAGCTTTCACAAGCTAAAGTCACCTGAGAGGAGGGAACCTCAATTTAGGAAATTGAGGAATTTAGGAGCTCAATTATGAGCTCCATAAAATCGGGCTGTAGGAAAGCCTCTGAAGCATTATCTTAATTAGTTGTTGATTGGGGGAGAGTCCAGTCCTTTGTGGGTGGTGTCATCCCTGGACTGGTGGTCCTGGAATCTATGAGAAAGCAGGCTGAGCAAGTCAGGGGAGCAAGTCAGTAAGCAGCTCCCCTCCGTAGTCTCTGCATCAGCTCCTGCCTCCAGGTTCCTGTTGAAGGTTATACTAACAAGTGATAAAAGTGAGTTGCAAACTCGGGTATTCTGTTTCCAAGTGCTTCCCTGACCCATTATACTTTCTTACATCTCCTAGGAACTGACGTGTGGGAGAGCTTCTGAATACATGCACGGGATTAGAATGGCCCTCAGAAAGATTGCTGTTTCCTTCTGTGACCCAACTTCGCCCAGAATATCTTCCATGACGGTCTCCTCGCAGGTCGAGCCAGTAGCACTCTGGAAACTCTGGTGCAGCTCTGGTGCCCACCAGCTGAGTTTCTGTTGTTCTAGAAAACAACCGAATTAAAGAACAGTATGAAGTGTTAAAAGCGAATCATTAAAGATTGTGTCTAAAACAGTCCCCAGATTTTTGTACTTTGTCCCCCCTGCAGCTGTCTGAACATTCCGCATGCAGTGTTTCTCTCCAGTTGGTCTTATGAGGTTGGAGGCTTCCTTTAGTGCAAGGCTTGGGGGAAATATTGACTCACTCTTGTGTCTCGTGTCTGCACTGCAAAAAGCACGACCTTGACATTTTGTAAATATCAATTAAGTTTAAATTCCGGAAAAAGACCGATTTGAAAATTTCCTCTGTTAGTGTCCCATTGGGCATGGCATTAACCCAGAAAAGATCCCAAAGATGAAGGAAAGGGAGCAGTGAGATGAAAAGGTTGCATTGACCAATTTAGACACAGAAATGACTTTCTGTAATGAGCTCTCTGTGGGTTATTAAGTGAGATGTTGTTATAGAATGTCCTTGGCACCTGGCAGAGTAATACTCAATGAACAGCAACCTCTGTTAAATAAAGAAATTTCCAAATCCTATGCAAAAAGAAGCAGAGATAGAAATTCCCTCCAGATACACTGAAAAGCATTTTTGGTACTGGCTGATTGACATGTAAATCACTTTTAATGTTCTTAAAATAATTTACTTTAACAGAAAGTCACACAGACCAGAAAAACCAAGCATTAAAAACTTTGAGAAAATCATCCAAGGCCACAAGCTGGTAAATGCAATAATTAGGAGTCAAATTCACGTTTATGTGACTCTAGAGTTTGAACCCTTCCTGATAGTCTGTGCTTTTCTGTTTCCACAGAAGACCCCTAAAGGAAGAGATGGATCTCAAACTCCCATGCTACATAAGATTCTTACCTCAGATACAAACACTCAAAAAATCTCAGTTATCCTTCTATAAAGATGATGGCTAAATTTTCTAATCCCAGTTAGAATCACAAAATACACCTTCACTTCCCTACACTGAAGGAACAATTTGTAAAATGTCCATTGAGTGTTTAATGTTTAAATCTCGCCACCCTGAGCTGCTATTGGACCTGGAGAGACCTCTGTGCTGATGAACAAGACTGACCAGTGAGTACAGTTCAGTAGTATTTCCTCATTTTGCTTATGCACGTCCACAGTGCTGAGCAGTGCTATTGACACAAACTGGAGATATCTAAAAGACCTCCACTGAATTTGGAATGTGTTAACTGTTTCTTCATGTGTTTAAAGAACACAATTGGAATGATTGAATCACATTTACTATATCAGCAAGGTAATAGAAAAACTTCAGTTAATTCAAATTCTGAGATCTCTCAAATATATCGTAGCCCCACAGATGCAGATGACATGGAGAAATAGAAAGGCAGATCTTATTTATCTAACATTTCCCTCATTTTTCTTATCTCTTATCTAGAGTTGTGTTGACATTCTGTAGCTTGAGGTTCAATGGACTTGTTCATCTCTCTTTCCCCTGGCTGATGTATTTTAAGGGTGAAAGGCCACCTGTCTGTTTCACAATGAGACTGGGTGGAAGTCCCCAACCCCTAGCTTCCAACTCCCTCCTGTGCCCTGCTCTTACCTTCAGATGATGGTACACCCAGAGTTGACCATTTCTGGGGCCTTTGTACTCAGTTGGACCTTTCGGTAAGATTGACTTATTGGGGAAGGCAGTGACAGTGGCATAGGCAGTAGTGACACTATATGAGCAGTTTTCGGAGCCTTCATCTCTGTTGGCCAGTTTTATGCTGCTGATCAAAATACTGAAGTACTTTGGGTAAACTGTGAAGAAACAATAATTTTTTGGTTTGTAGTACTAGAGGTTCAAGAGGATAATGTTGGCATCTGCCTGGCGCTCATCAAGGCCACATGGCAGGTGACATCACTCTGGGGGGGGTGGAGTACAAGCAAGAGTGGTGAGTAGTACATATGGGAGGGATGAGGGACAGTGCCAGACTCACGCAGGACAACTTGTGGGGCATTCTGAGAGTCAGGCCACATTCCTGCAAGAAAAATGTCAATCTTCCACAAAGCTTTAATCTCCACACACTAGGACCCACCTCTTAAAGATTCCCTCAGCTCTCAGTACTGCTGTGCTGTGACCAACGTTCATTTTGAACCTTTGGGGGGTAAATTTTACACAAATGATGTTACTGTCCATGCTAGAAGTTTCCTGTGGTCCTTAGGCAGCTCCCCAAACAGTTTAAGTTTGAAATATTAAGTAAAAGTATAATGCGTTTCCATTTATGTTTTGCTTTTGATCTCTATATAAAATAATTTGTTTGCTGAATCACTTGGAAACAAGTGACAGATGCCATAGTGCTTCACCTGTATAAGAACATATGTCTTCCAAGGAGAAGGACATGAGCGTAATGCCATCATCCCACGTGTTGGAAATGTAACACTGATTAATATTATATTATAATTAATATTATATTAATGAATATTAATAGTTCACATTAAAGCTTTATTTCTTTATAAATGCCCTTACTAGTTACTTTTAATCAATGTAATTAAACATTTATGACTATTTGCATGAATAAGATCATTGTTGCTGATTTTAGAGTTAGTTCAAAAATTCAACTTCCATCAACTTTCTATCTCAAATCTAATTTTAACATATTATTATTTTGTTTTTATTGAGACAGGGTTTCTCTGGCTGTCCTGGAACTAGTTCTTGTAGACAAGGCTGACCTTGAACTCACTGAGATCTGCCTGCCTCTGCCTCCCAAGTGCTGGGATTAAAGGTGTATTCAGACCTACTCAGAAACAGCAATACCCAACCACATCTCAGAACTCCAGAACCTGTCTCTTATCCTTTGGAGTTGGGAGCTACTCCTCTCTCCATGTGTGAATTCTGCATAGATGATAGAGGGCCCTGGATGAGGGGTCTGGCCTTCCCCAACTCCACATAAGGAACTGGGATGGGGGCAGACCCTGGTTGGCCCTGACAGTGAGTGGGAGTGACGCTCCAGGAGTGGAACATATGGAAGTTGTTTGTTGTTGTTGTTGTTGTTGTTGTTGTTTTGTTTTGTTTTTTAGGTTTCCCTGGATGACCTGACAGAGCCAAAAGAATTCAAATCCCAAACAAGAGGGCACTAGTCTTAAGCCAGGGGGATCTCATTCCAAAGAAAGCCACTCGTCAATAAAGGGAAACAAAACTGATGGAAACACACACACACACACACACACACACACACACACACACACACACACGCACAGAGAGAGAGAGAGAGAGAGAGAGAGAGAGAGAGAGAGAGAGAGAGAATAACCAGCAATGGCTACCACACAATCATACAGCTGAACGGGCAGGGGGATCCAGCAATGTCTCACACTGTTAGCAGACATTGAACCAGTGGCTATATCTGACCTCTTTTATGTGTCCAAACTATCCAGACTTACCTGTAGAGGTGACAGACTAGGCAACTTTCTAATTTGTTTCCTTTTGGGGAGGAGGTGTCAGACTCTTCTGAAGCATTAGGCAGAAATTGATCAAAGAGAGTTCTGGGGGACCTGCTACATCTCAGGTTGCACAAACCCTAGGAACGCCTTGACCACCACACTCCTCCCTTCTCCCAGCTGATTTTAGATCCCCAGTGTCTTGAGATCTGGTCTGTGGGGATCTCAAGGAGATTGTGTGGGGTATCCACCAGAGAAGACTGCTCAGCATGGCTTCAAGACAATAGAAAGTCTTTATCAGCTATCCTTTAACTACTACACTGGGTGTTCAGGATCCAAGTACATCCCAGAGACCTTTTCAGGGTGAACTTTTAAGCACAGAAACCATATCTTGTGTTGAGATACTTCAGTTAAGAAGAACAATTAGCCAGAAGCTGAACTACAGAAACCAAAAAGCAAGGTTAGTACATTTAGGGACTTTCTCAGAATTACAAACTTTGATGGATTATGTCTTTGTTTTTGTTTTGGCTGCGGGTGATGTCTACATTCAAGTTTTAATGGCCTGAATAGTACTTTGAAAATGGGGTTGATTGTGTTCAGGTCTGGGGCCTACTAAGGTCTGGGGGCAACAGCAGTCATTCTTAACACTCTCCTGAGTTCTAAGTCTCTGCATGAACTGCTATCCACTGCAAAAAGAATCTTCTATGACCAAGGTTGAGAGAACCACTCATCTGTGAGTATAAACATAAATATTTAGGAGGCAGTTTGGTAACATGTCTGAGTAGCTCCCCTCTACAGCCCATTGTAGTGGTATATTATTTGTGTTTTAATAAACAAAGCTTGCTTGAAGATCAGAGGGCAAAGCAATCACACTAGTCAGCCATACAGCCTGGGGTGTGGTGGCACACACCTTTAATTCCAGGACTTGGGAGACAGAGGCAGACAGATCTCTGTGAGTTCAAGGCTACCCTGGGCTACAAAAGATCAATTCAGAAATAGATCCAGGTGGTGGTGGCTCATACCTTTAATCCCAGTATCCCAGCACTAGGGAGGTGGAGACAAGAGTGATATGGCTGGGCAGAGAGAGGAATATAGAGGGGGTGAGACAGGAATTCATTGGAGTGTGGAGTTTGAGGATGCGTGGAGATAGGATATTGCCCCTTTGGTATTAAAACTTGGTAGAGGTAAAAGGTCTCTCGAGTGATTGACTACTTTGCTTTTCTCATCTTCAGGTTGAACCCCAATATCTGTCTCTGAATTTTTATTATTCGTGCTACAGCCCATGACTTTTCTAGCCAGCCATGGGCTTCTGTTCATTCATTATGGTACTGGTTGTGCAGTTACGTACAGTGCAAGAATTGGTGCCACAGAAGCTTTTCTTGTACCCAAACTTAAGGAAAGCCTGCAGCCAGGAGCCATGCAGCAGAATTAGACTCTGGCAGGGAACAGAAGAAAGAAAGAAATGGAGAATGTCAAGGCAAAGCTGCAGTGTAGATGGCAGGATGTTGGCAGTGCCAGGAATATGGGCCATTTGTGAGGGACACCTGCAGGCAAGAGCTGTGCTAGCCCAAGAGAAAGGTCAGAGGTACCATATTGGATCTGCTGGTTTGGGCCTTGCTTTTATTCATTTTTCTTGCTTTCTTTGTTTCTCCCTTTTAAAATGACAATGTTTGCTCTGTGCCATTTTATTTTGGAAGCAGGTAACTTTTCTTTGTCATTTTACAAGGGTTCACAACAAAGAGATTATCTTGAGCCTCAGAAGACTAAGACTGTGGAGGACTCTTGAAGTTGGACTCAATGCACCTCACATTAAGAAATAACCATGAGACTTTGGGAACCAAGGGTAAAATCAGCACCCTCCACAGGCTCATGCTATCACTACTTCTTCCCTAGTGGTAGTGCTATTTTGCGAGGCTCCAAGACCTTAAGGAGGTGGGACCCAGCTGGTAGAAGGAGGTCTTTTTTATTTTTATCTATTTTTAGATTTTAAATATTTTTTGTTGATTTTATTTGCGCTATACATTTTTTCCCCACTCCCCTCTTTTCCCCTCCCCTCCACTTCTACCCTCTCCTATGCTCCCAATTTACTCAGGAGATCTTGTCTTTTTCTACTTCCCATGTAGATTAGATCCATGTATGTCTCTCTTAGGGTCCTCTTTGTTGTCTAGGTTCTCTGGGATTGTGATTTGTAGGCTGGTTTTCTTTGCTTTATGTCTAAAAGCCACTTATGAGTCATTACATATGATTTTTTATCTTTCTGTGTCTGGGTTACCTCACTCAATATGATGTTTTCTTGTCCCATCCATTTGGTTGTAAATTTCAAGATTTAATTTTTTCTGCTGTGTAGTACTCCATTGTGTAAATGTACCACATTTTCCTTATCCATTCTTTGGTCAAGTGGTATTTAGGTTGTTTCCAGGTTCAGACTATTACAAACAATGCTGTTATGAACATAGTTGAGCACATGTCCTTGTGATATGGTTGAGCATCCTTTGGGTATATACCCAAAAATGGTATTACTGGGTCTTGAGGTAGGATGTTTCCTAATTTTCTGAGAAATCATCATACTGATAGGCACAATTTTCACTCCCACCAGCAATGCAGAAGTGTTCCCTTTACCCCATATCCTCTGCAGCATAAGTCATCATCAGTGTTTTTGATATTGGTCATTGTTAAAGATATACGATGGAATCTCAGAGTTGTTTTGATTTACATTTATCTGAGGGCTAAGGATGGTGAGCATTTCTTTAAGTGTCTTTCAGCCATTTTAGATTCCTTTGTTGATAGTTCTCTGTTTAGGTCTGTACTCCACTTGGAGTGGAGTTGGATTATTTGTTCTTTTGATGACCAATTTCTTGAGTTCTTTGTATAATTTGTAGATTAACCCTCTGTCTGATGTGGAGTTGGGGAAGATCTTTTCCCATTCTGTAGGCTGACGTTTTGTCTTGTTGACAGTGTCCTTTGCTTTATCAGAAAGAGGTCTTAGGGAAGCCTTTGAAGATTATAACTCAGCCCCTCGTTCTGTCCTCATTGACTGCTTCCTGATCCATTGCCAAGTGTTTCCACCACCACAGAATCCACCATGCCCTCTCAGCTATAACAGACTGAAATCTTTTGAAGCTATAACTCAAACTAAATCTTTTTGTCCTTAAGTTGTTTGTCACAGGCTTCCTTTTGGGGCATCATCCAGCCCACGAATCACGACACAGAGACTTAGTATTAGTTTTGAATACTCGGCCTTAGCTTAGTTCTTAATTTAAACAGTATGATCAAGGAAGGCCACCTGAGAAATCTCCGACAGGAACAGATGGCCCAGATGTCTGAGTTCTTCATCCAGAACAGGTTCAAGACTGCTGCCTGAGATGATCAAGACTCACAGGATACTCCAGTCAGGACTTGATGATAATTCTAAATTTTCTTTAGGTCCCCTTAAGACTATCAGCGCCCCCAACCAGCAGGAAGTAGCCTGAAATACTACGCCCACATTCCCAACAAATGGATTATGGGTATTTTCCTTTGTTTAAAAAAAAAAAAGAGGGAAATGGTGCGGGAGAATTATCTGTATTCTGTCAATCATATTTTAATAAAACGCTGATTGGCCAGGCAGGCAGTATAGGCGGCAAAGCCAGACAGGAAGTAGGGGTGGAGCAAAGAGACTGGGAGTATTCTGGAAGTAGAAACTCTCTTACCACTCCTGCACAGACCACCGAAGAGGCAACATGTAAGCTGTCACACTGAGAAAGGTACTGAGCCCATGTGGCTAAAATAGATAAGGATAATGGGGTAATATATGTTATAAGAGCTAATAAGTAGCCTGACCAAATGGGCCAATCAGTTTATAACCTTATGGAGTCCTGTGTGTAATTTCTCTTTGGGATTTGCCGGCTGTTGGGGTACCGGGCGGGACGGAAACCCCAACAAGCCGGCCCCTCATGTTACACTCAGTTTTTTTTTTTTACTTTCTTCTGTATGTCTTACTTTCCTGCTGCCTCCATGTCTGGCAGGTGGCTGGCCCTGGGCATGTTCCTCTCTTTCTCTCCTCTTTTTTTTCCCCACTTAGCCTAGATTTCTCCTCCTACTTATTTTCTCTGACCATTCAAATTTTTATTAGACCAATCAAGTGTCTTAGGCAGGCAAGGTGAGACTAATGCAACACATCTTTACATAATTAAACAAACGCAGAATAACCAAATGTAACACATCTTTACATCAGTAACAAAAGTACAGAAACAAAGTAACACACCTTCACAGTTAAAGTAATGTCCTGCAGCATAAGCAAATTCAAAGCATCTTTATGTAGCTAAATATTCTACAGCAGTTGTTCCTGTCAGGTATTATGATCAGAGTTATGCAAAAATAACTAATAACCGTCTAGTAGACAGAAGCCAAGTCTCCTCGCAGTTCCTTCAGGGTGGGCTCCTCTTGGAAAGTACAGAAAGTTAAGTAAATACAGCTCTCTCAATTCCTATGTGTTACTAGGATTTGGTTTTGTTCAGATATCAGAAGGATCTTTATTGATCTTGGGAAAGACAGCTTAGTGGCAAGAAAGAATCAAAGTTTGCTTAAGCTAGTTATGGCAATTCATTCATAAATTTATGTTTTCTACTATTGGTCTGTGATAGTAACATAGCCAGGAGCATTCCAATAAAAATACTAGGAAATAAATTTCTTTACTGTAAAAAGAAATGGAGAAAACAACACTTTTTTCTGAGTCTTTTCTTTGATATGGGACTGGGGACATGTGAAGGTATGATGCTTAATATAGTGGAAGCTACTTGTGGC